GAGTACAGAGAACCGAGTAGGAACTCGCGCACAGTGGTACTTTGAAATATATGGGGAATTGTATGCGAATGCGCAAGTTGTGATTCCGAGTACGAATTATAATTTTGCAATCAGATCAATCTGATTAATTTTATTATATCCAATCATACAATTTACAAACTTTTTATGAGCATACTATTGGTTAAAATATAAAATATAAAAAAATACTATTGGTTGACGTCGGAATTTATGAATGCTCCATGTAAAAAATATAGTGTCGATACCACTGTGCGCGAGTTCCTACTCGGTTCTCTGCTACTACGTAGTACAGCTACTACGTAGTACTGTACTACTTGGAGTGTACCGGTACACTGTAGTGTTATGTACCGGTAGTGTTACAGATGTAAGGTTTTGGTTCATTCTTGGGCCTGAACATTGTGCTTGAACATGTGGTGTACTAGTAGACGATACAAAAATGGCGATAAGCCAATCACATAGCGTGTTCGAGTGGTAGACTCTACGGCAGAAAGCAACGTAGGTACAGTAAATGCACTGTCAATACTAACTGTAAAGTACTGCGATGTGCTTGTCTTTCGAATGCATACCGTTGTCCACTGCTTCTTGGATTGCGTTTATATACTAATAACCACAGTATGCACAACCTTCTTCAATGCGCGGAACCATAGTCGATGCAACAGGAGGCGCTGTTCACCACTCATATGCATATTAGAAATTTGTAAAAGAGATTATGCGACCTCTACCCAGAGGTTGCAGTGGTAGAGGATTGGTTTCTTCACTCAAATAAAGGTCGTCGGTTCGATCCCCGGCTTCCCCGGATTATTTCCGCAAGGAATTATCCGTCACTCCCCTGGATAATCCGGATATCAAGGGCTGCATCTGTACGAGACAAAAACCGAACATCGGTCGAAGCACGAGGTGTGAAGCGTTGAGCGAAGTAAAAACCGAAGATTACATCCGCGCAGGCGGGTTACAATTGGCGAAGCGGTTCCACAACATGTGGTACTAGTATCGGCCATCGCAGGAATAATTCCCTCATTAAAATACTTCCACTGTTGTTTTGACCCGAAATACAGTTTCACAGTCAATAGACAGATTTCGGAACACGATCCCATGCATTTGCCGTCAACTTACCTCCTTAAAATTTATCGAGTTTACGGTGTTATGTGGGATGCCGTAGAAACGGCCATTTGTACGGCAAAGGTCACCCCTCCTTTAGGGCACCGTCATTGGTCTTAAATCGTGGATTTCAACCAGTCGCGCATAACGTTAATCATGCACACTTAGTCACCTTGCATAACCCGACGTAGCCTGGTGTCCAGCCTTTTCCACGCAACTGTAAGGTGGGCCATTCCAAGAGTTCAGGTGGAGCGATTACGTGCATCTTATCTTGCCTTATTCATTCAGCCAGTTATCCTGTACCTTTTCCAGCAGTCGGCGTAATTGCCTTGGGTCAATATCCTGCCCGCACTCCTACGATTTGAATATGGGGCTTCGATGTTTCGCCTATAGGCGCATGAAGCGTACAGAAAACTCACAATTCTCATCCGCATGTGCACATAAGTGGACATGGTCGCATACGCAGTTGCGCCCCTCTAATCATGAACTAA